ATAATGTTTGCCGACAATTTAAAACTCTAGAAGGTCATCTGCAACGATGATGATGAAGCAAATTTGCAGGCAAATTTGCACCGACTCGAACAATGGTCAAACGAGTGGCTCATGTTATTCAATGTCGCCAAATGCAACATTATGCGCTTCGGTGGTACCAAAACTTCGTATCGGAGGGTATACTACCTCAATCGCACGCCGTTGCCAGAGATAGAGACCCAGATGGATCTAGGGGTGTGGATCACGCCTTCACTAAAACCATCACTCGACTGCTTGAAGGTTGCCAAATCCCTAATGTCCACCTTGTATCCCATTAAGTGCGCTTTTACTAAGTTCGACGAAATCTGCTATGGTAAGGTCTTTGGGACTTTTGTAGGACCCCAATTGGAATTTGCCATAAAAGCCTGGAGACCTTGGACAGTCAAATACCGAAAAACCCTTGAAGGGGTACAACAACGCGCAACTAAGTTTGTTTGAGGCCATGCGTACCTTCCTTATGAGACACGATTGACCAATCTTGACTTATTTCCTCTAGATTAGACAGCTACGCGGTGACCTAATACAGGCATTTCGCTTGCTGCGGGATCAGGATTATTGCCTAGAATCCGACGATTTCTTAGAGCTGGGCACTACCACTAGTTTACCCGGACATACTCTCAAACTACTGGGGCAAGATTGGACACACGAAGATTCTTCTTATCTAAGAGGGTAATTCAGGTATGGAATGCTCTGCCCGCGGACATTGTCATGTCCCCATCTGTGGACACGTTTAAGATGAAGCTGGACCAGTATCGCAAGCACGTTCTCTGAATTGGAGCCAGGCACGACAGAGAAATTCCATTTTATAAAAAGCATACTGCTCGCTACTTTTCAGTAATATTTTTGTTTAGAATAACTGCATCATGAATTTCTCTTTATACGAATTGCATCAATCGTCTACGCCGAACCTTGTGGTCCTAGGCTACGCGACCATGTAAAGTTCTTCATAATGGTTGTCCATGACCGACTGCTGAGGATCGTGGTGGGGCCCCGTGTTTCGTGATTCTTCTCCTCGTGTGACCCTTAGGATATTGACAGGCTCCTCGTGCCATGCTTCAAACTTTTTCAGCAGCAGGCCATCCGATTTGCGTATGCTCTATCCACCCTTCCCCCCACGGGCCTCAGTTTTTCTCCTTAAAATCCTTCAAATGGTATTCAAACCCCTAGAATTCTGAACAATGCCAAGTAATTTTTTACTGTGCCCTTTTTGCACTGGCAACGCCACAGGTTCTGCATTGCATAACTGCTCTGTACCAAGAGGGAGTTCAAAGGTATTTACCTATATTTCCATTAATAAACCTGACCTGGGCTTTATTGTATCTGTCATCCGGGGATGATGAACACGATGTGATATGTGCTTCCCGAATATTTGCGCATATTAATAGCTGTATTACACATCACTTATCTAATGTTAAATTTAAATGTGTTTAACGCAGGGGAGCGCACAAAACAGTAAATTAACCCAGAATAGGTACACTGCCATGTACATTTAAACGTCATTGGGCAACGGGATTTTAGGTAGTGCGCCTCACATACCCCTAGTCACGGCATTTGTCCTACGACAAATAGTGGTTTTATGGGTGGGGAAAAAGGACAGGCAGTGAAGTAAATTTGTAGAAGTAAGTGGAAAGTGGAAAAATGCACATGGTTGAATTTGTTTCCCGCGGCCGCTGGGAGTGAGTTGTTCCGCATAGAAACTGATGGTGTGCGCGAGGCTTCGGGCCCCGCAATATACCGATCTAATTCCAGAAAGGCCACACCTTCCGACGATGTCCAACCACGTCAACCCTGGGAAGACAGTGAAATGCTGGATCTGGGGCCTGACCACATGAGCCTTCCCACTCCTTTCACTTCTGTGCCCTCCGTCGCTAATATCCGCTGCTCAATCGGTTCCACGGACTCCGGTCAGTTTGGCCCCGTCTTCCAACCTTGGATTGCCGACTCTTTGCAAACCTAGCGCATCCTTTTGTACCAGCAGGAGCACCCCAATCCCCGTATTTTCTATTT